GGCCTAACGGTTTTTTTGAAACCAGAGGTCTGGACTTTTGAAACGCACTATAGTGGCTATAGTGGCGGTCAATTCTTCAGCTTTGCAAGCAGTTGAATGGTGCAATTCCAGCACAAGTTGCTATGGCTTCTGCTGTAGCATTGCCATCATCGCCTCCTGCGATGGGCGTCAAAAGCTCAAAGGTCAAAGGATAGAGTGTGTTTGTGTGTGTGTGTGTGTGTGTGTGTGTGTGTGTGTGTGTGTGTGTGTGTGTGTGTGTGTGTGTGTGTGTGTGTGTGTGTGACCGCTGGTTTCAAAGCGCTGGCGGTTTTGCAGTTCATCGTTGTGTGGAGCGTCAGACATCGGACGAAATACCAGTTTCAACGAGATGCAGCCTGAATTTGGACTGCTGCCAGCACCATTGCTCGACCTGTGATCGCTGCATGAAGAGTCAGGCTGGTTTTAACCGCCATAATTGTACTCGAGGCAAACGACTGCGAAAGGACCAGAGGACTAATCTGCCCATTCAATGCAGCCTATGTAACGAACGATTCTCCCGCCCGCAGGACCTCACCCGCCACCGAAGACAGAAACACTAGCTATGTGTAGAACGGTCCCCTCTCACCTCAATTATTCTCCTTGTTTCTTTTTCCTTTCTCGCTGTTGTCTCCCGCTTCTGGGAGCGACGTGGCCATTTTGTGGCAGTTGTACATAGTAGTAGTAGTAGTGTGTGTGTGTGTGTGTGTGTGTGTGTGTGTGTGTGTGTGTGTGTGTGTATGTCTGTGTGTCTGTGTGTGGTTGCAGAAAACTACACAGACCATGACTGCAGTGAAGAGTGTATGAACCGTGCTACAATAACCAGTTTATCATCGTCCTGAAAGTACTTCAAAATGTCTAACAGTAAGTCAGACCAGCAGTCCACCATAATTGAATGTGCAGTATCTTGGCAACAAGCCTTTGGTTACTTGTGATTACAAGAGCAAACAAGAAACAAAACTCCTATAGACAACAGACTTGCTATAGGAAGTAGATCTCCTATACAGAACCAAACCCGTTAATGGAATGTTTGTTGCTTACAACCTTTCAGCCGCTGTTTTCCTGCCGACTTGACTTGTCATTTGACTGATTGTGACTGCCATCCTGCACAGCCGTCCGTATACAAGAAATCCATCAAATGGTTCACTTTGTAAACCTGCAAGAAAACACCTTCTGCCTGCTTAAAGTACAGTTTTACGGGGAGGTCACCCCACATCAGTTTAGCTTGATTATGCTGAGGAGGGGGGGGTCAACGAGGCTACAGTAAGATCGGGCGCCGAAGAACGCAGGGGCTCGAGTGCAGCCTAGGAAAGTTCTTAAATTTTTGATTCTAGCCAGACCGTTCTTATTCACACGCGCACGGCGAGTCGAGTGACGTCATGACGTTTGTCATGTACATGTCATGTACATGTAGTGCAATGTAGTACTTCTAAACTAGTGCCAGTAGTGGGTGTCGTAAATGGGAATGACTGTACATGTAGCAGTTACTGTTTACACGTGTACATGACATGTACTCACCTCCCATACATGTACAATTTTGTAAATTTTAAAAGTGTTCTTAAATCTGATAATTCTAGCCTGGACTGTTCTTAAATTTTGCCGGTTTTCCAGCCTGGGTGTTCTTCGGCGCCCGATCTTACTGTACATGATGTTGATGTGTCCAAACATGACCCAGTTGTCATGGTGATTGGTTGTCCAGGAAACTGTCTCAAAATTACTAATGATTATCTGTCAATGCTGTTTCGATTAGTTCGACATTCCTGTATATTTGGTTTGTGTCTTTTCGTATTCTTTAGATGAACCATTTGGTGATCCCAAGTTCATTGCTAATATCTTACCCTGGATCTGTGACATTGATACAACGAGGTTTCGACATGCTGTGCAGGGCAAATGCGTGTTCATAAGTATAACGGAAATTGAGACATTGCTGCGTCTGGAGAAGTACGAAGGAAAGGAAAAGCATAATTCTCACATCATCAGTCTTATTCGTCCTGGAGGCACATTTGCTTATAAACTGCTCTGCAATGCAATCCATGACTTGGGTCCATTGTACAATGAAAAGTACCAAGAAATGCTTCTCCTGTTGCCCGTTGACCAGCGACCAACGGCCAAGACATCCTCTTACGAGACAGGTAATTGATATGTCTAGAATGGGGAGGGTTTCAGGGTTGTGGATGTATCATTACAAGCTGAACATGCCCAATTTAAACATTGCCATCAACCAAACTTCTGCTGTCAAGGGAAATTTTAATTTTGTACCTTACCAGCAGAATACAACTCAATACACCAAAGTGTCGTCTAGCTAAAAGTGAATTATACCCCTCTTGCGGCCGCGATACACAACAGAAGGCAAGCTGTTTATTTGAAGAGAATACTTTGTTCTTTCTCTCAGGAGAAGACTGGACAACTGACGTATGACAACTGACAAGTGAATAATATCCAGGAAAGTGGTGCACTCATCAGGGCAAAAGTGGTGCGCTTATCAGCACAAAAGGTGCACGGGTAAGCAATACAATGCGGTCCCATTGCGGACCAGTGTGAAAAGTGTGTACAGAGTGGGTGACTATAAAGCCTAGTTCACATTCGACGGGGCACGACGGGACGTGACGTAAGGATCGACGGGAAGCGATGGGACAGTCTGACGGCGTCCAATGTGAACACCAGGAACGGGAACGCAGCCGTACTGCCGTACAGATCGGGAAGCGACGGGAAGAGTTGGATCGATCCAACTTTTCATACCGTAGACGGGCGTAGACGGGGATGCAAGTGTACAAAACAGCTGCATTTTGAGTGTGAACAGGAGACGGCGTTGTGCGCCGACTACTCCCGTTTCGTACTTGGGAAATTTTAAGCATTTCGAACACTGTGCTTCCCATGATAACTCGCAGAATGGCTAACACGACTTGAGTTGAATTTTAGCAAGATACGGTCTGGTGTCACTTATGGCATTTAGGGATAGTTCAGGAGCGTGACAGACGGACTGTTTTATCATTCTCTGGAGCTTTAATTGGAATAGCACACCTTTCGATGCTACTTTTTTGGTGTTCATGAAAAACTGGTATTGTGAACTTGATTCCGCTTCATTCAAGGAGAAATAATTGAAAAGAAATACCGAAAAACAAGAAAATAGGGCCAAAGGTCACCCTGTCATGGGCCGTGCCTTATGACTGGCGTCGTTCGCTGCTGAACGACGAAACGACTGCAGCATGTCGTATCGTACGAATCATACAAGATTTTACAGCTCACCCCAGCCTTCCCGACAGGCCTTACGTCCCGACCGTCAGCGTTCCGTCGAATGTGAACTAGGCTTTATGCATGTTAGTACACACCTGTTGCAATAGCGCAGCAGCGTGTACCACGATTCAGCAGCGTGTACCACGATTCAGCAGCATGTACAACTCTATCCCCCACCGAAAAAAGAGATCCTCTCCTGAGGATGAAAGCAAAACAATTGAAGCCCAAAAATTGACACAAACATCTCATCCATCGCCAAAAATCAGAAAAGAAAACCACACGAAGGAATGGAAGAACAGCAAGGAAGAACACATCGACTGAAACAGGATCAATTAATCATTGAGGACACGAGATACCACGCAAACAAATCGGTTACCAATACGCATAAAAGACATTAAAGAAAAAATCACACGCCGCTGCCCTGAATAGCCCCAGGGATCCACCCTGACAACCACAGGGATCCACCCTGACAACCACAGGGATAACACCATAATAACACCGGAAACATTTAGTACATCCGCTTGCAAAACAAAAAACCAAAACCGTCAGGCACTTATTGTGACGCACATGTGACAACCAGCAACACCCAGAACCCACAACACCCGCAAGGCAAACCGATACAAATAAGAGCATGATCCCTCCAGCCCACCAGGCAGACCGTGGTTCACCAAGATCGGACGCTCGCCCACCCATGTGAACTGAAGAGACCCACATGCCGAAACACAATACAAAAATTAATAAGACGCTCACGAAAAAATTTCAACCTGGATCTATAACTAGAATCCTAGATACATTTTCGCACCTCCCACCAAACCAGAATCTAGCAGCTTTGCCACATTTTCGGCAGTGCATGTCCGAGCACGACAATGCTGCACACAGAACATGGAAAACAGGTTTTCAAGAAAACCCTGCCCTGTTTATTGTGTTGGACTTTGTGAAATGCAGCTGTGGAGTATCGACCAGTGATACTGGCAAACTTTGAAATTATTTTACAACAAAGCTGTGCACAGCGTCAATCGAGATTACTCACGTATTTGTTTCTTTTGTTGACGCCTTTCAGTTCAGTTTTTATGTACGTGTGTATGTAAACTGTACAATCAGTGGTTCACACAGACACACAGACACACACACACACACACACACACACACACACACACACACACACACACACACACACACACACACACACAGAGGCACACACACACACACACACACACACACACACACACACACACACATACACCTTGGACCTTGGACGAGCTGCCATATTCTGGCTATGCGGACCCCATGGGGGGTTGAGCAGGTTCGGAACAGTAGGGGCGATGACGGGATAGGTCCTGTGGTCTACTGAAACGCCGACCGCAATTGCAAACGATACAGAAGGAGCTACGGTCTGTGTTGGTTGCTCTGGCCGAGCCACGGCTGCACTTGTGACATTTCATGCCTTGGCGCGATAGCACACAGCGGTTGCAGCGGGCGCAGTGGAAGCTGCAGCGTTCGCAGGACATATTGTTTGTAACCGGTGACTCAAGTGTGTCAGAAGATGCCTCTGCTGGTGATGTTGCACACATACACACACACACACACACACACTCGCACACACAGACACACACACACACACACACACACACTATCTACATTTAGGAATATACTTGTCAACATATCATCACAGTACATCTGTACAATGATATACCATCAAACAATTAGTTCTTTTTCCTCTTTCCTGTCCTGTGTTTCACCACAGTTGATGTTGCTACTATGCGTGCAGCCAGCAACACAGCTAACGATGGCACAGTGACATGTCATATACTGTTAGTGAATGATGATGGAGCAGACAATGGTGGGCACATTCAACGTCTTAAACAACATCTGCACAGAGTGAATACACATCTGTGCAAGACCACCGCTGATCATTCAGATCTAACTTGCTTGTCCGGCGATGTCAAGGATTGCTTCGTGCCCATGCAGGCTCTGACGGAGAAAGATGCTCTGCAGCTGACGTATCGTGCGCAACAAGCTGCAACTCGCCGTGTCACTGGAAGACAGCCAATATCTGACCGTACACCAGGCGTTGCTATCCCAGGAGCTAGACAAGATAAGAGTGACAAAGTGGAAGGAGGAAGGCAGTTTGTTCTGTCCAGCGCTAAGCAGCTCTTGTCTGATCCCCATTATTATGAAGGTGTAACTAGCGCTGGCAAAAGTGGTGTTGGTGTTGGTGGTGGTGATGACACAGTTGACACAGACATTCTGGAAAGTTGCATTGTAATTGGCAACGCTGGGCAGGGAAAGACAACACTGAGCAAACGAGTCATTGCCGACATCATGGAGACAACAACTGGGAATCTGGCAAAGATTGAATTCATTTTCTACGTGCCGTGCCGTGATTTGCAACGTACACAGTCAGCAGATTGGTGTGTGTTCCTTGGTTTGGACCAGTTGCACATCAGTACACAGGAGCAATCTATACTGCTCAATTACCTCTCTGAACATTCCGACCAGGTATTGATTGTCATCGATGGGATTGACGAACTTGGCAGTGATGGATTTGGTAACGGATCAGCAGCCCAAGCTGTAATATTGAGGAGCAGCAGCAGTCACCATTCACTACTACCTGATGCTATTATAGTCGCAACTAGCCGACCGTGTAATGAAGTTTATCAGCACATCCAGAATTTCCGCTTACGTTTCCGACTTCTCGGCTTCTCAGCAGACCAGCTCTTTGCGTACTGCTCACGACAGCTCGGAGAGGAGGTTGCCAAGAAGTGTATGGAAGAGCTTTCCCAACGGAACAACTGTCTGCTGAAGGAAGCCATTCGACAATCTCCACTCCTATGTGCTCTGCTCGTTCAGCAATATCCCATCAACAACTCTCTACCCTCCAGTGTGACACTTTTCTACGACCACTACTTACGCTCCTCACTCGCAAAGCTGGAAAAGCGGCGAGGAAGGAAGTTTGGTCAAATACGGCTTGCACATGACGTCATCAGTCACTGCAGTGGTGGCCGGCACTTCAGTTGTGGTGATCTTGTCAGTATCCCCGTGGTAATAGAACATCATTTGGAGCGCTATGTGAAGGAGACAAGCAACAATGATGAGGAGTGTGATCACCATGCTGTGGAGCTAGTCAAGGCATTGCACAATCTCTACACGATGTGTCTTGCAACATATCAAAGGGGCATGGCTACGTTTACATCCACGCTGTCAACCCTCCACCAGTCCATTTGTCAAGATCTCGGCTTACTGCTCAACCCTGGTATGCATCCGTCGTTCGTCGGTTCCACTCAGACTGTGTCCTTGACTCACTTGACACTGCAAGAGTGGTGTGCATCGAGATGCATCATTTCTTCTGACTCGTGCGTAGACATCATCCGGAGCTGCATCAACACTGTCGGCACAGACTTGAACACACTTGTCTTCTGGCAATTTGTCTTTGGAGCACTGAAGCCAGACCTTCTACATTCATCTTTGTTGGCTCTGAAGTCTGAAAACAGCATCAGTGATTACTCTTTCCAGAGCAAGAAGAAGAGGTTTCTGTTCATGATGAGATGTTTGATGGAAAGCCACATTTCACTCCAACATAACCGCACTGGAAACCCCAATCAGGATGTAGACGCAATCATCCATCGCTGCTATGCTATGTCAGCCAACCTCCTGGCCAGTGATGGAATTGATGTTAGTGGAATCCACCTTGAAGTTGTTGATGTGATGGCTTTACATACTGTTTTGGAGCTTGTAGACCATGTAAAGTCTCTGGATCTCAACAGTTGTAATCTGTCGAGTGACTGTGTCATTTTGCTATCTGACCAACTGGATAAATGCGTCAAGGTGACTTTGCTTGGTGCCAATCTCACTGCAGCACCATTGGCAAGCATATCAAGCACACTGTCTAGATCAACACGGCGTACCCTCCAGGTTCTTGACATTAGCAACACAAGGTTGACCAGTGGATCTGCAGATGGAGCAGCACTTGCTGGATGTGTAAAACACCCAAGTCTAACGTACCTGACTGCAGTCAACACTCCACTTGGCAATGATGGTCTGGCAGCATTTGTGAGCAACTTGGCTCCGTGTAACAATCTCACAGATCTATCACTGGCATGGTGTGGACTGGATAGTGGATGTGGATCTGACCTGGCAACACTGGTCACACAGTTACCACACCTTAAGACTCTATGGCTGAGTGACAACTCACTCTCCAACGGTGACGTGTCATGTGTACTATCCAGTCTCCATTCTCATGATACCATACAGCATCTCTTCTTCGAGAACACCAGACTGACTGATGAGCTAGCCGCTAGTGTTGTTGACTTTCTGCAAGCTCGTCGCGGTCGTGAGCACACTGGGAGTGTCAGCACAACACTACCACCATGCAGGGTTTATCTGACCGGCAGTGGTGTAACAATCCGTCTTCTACAGGAAGTGGCTACGTCTAGTCAATGTGGTGGTGACGTAATCGACAATTGCAGCCGCTATGCTACTGGTACTTTGGTACAGACTCAGTCGATTGATTTTCTGGTCAGTGTACATGGTGGTGGTCTACTAGGCAAGGTTGATGACTCCATGATGTCATCACTTGGTCAGTACCTTGCTACCAACACTGACCTTGACCTACTGGACGTAGCACAGTGTAACATCACCGATGCTGTAGCAACTGCTCTGGCAACATCTGGCCTTGCTCACAACACAGTGCTGAAATACCTTTGTCTGCACAGGAATAGGATACAGCTATCTGGTGTTGTAAGTGTACTACAAGCAGTGACATCACCACAATCACATGTCAGTGCATTGTGTCTGGAGGACAACCCAGTGTTTCATGATATACAGCCCAGTCATGCTGATTTCAAACTGCTATGCCAGCTTCTCTCTAGATTCCACCGGCTGCGCTTCATTTCATTTGCCAGGACGGGCATGAGTGATGAAGTTGGTGCAAGCATCCTACACTCTCTCCATCACCATACACGTATTGAATGGATGGATATGGCGATCAATAAGATTGGTGATGCCACAGTGCATGCCCTGGTGGATATGATGAAGAAGAACACAAGCTTGAGATTGATCAGCCTAAATGACTGCAAGATCACCGATGATAGCATTCAAGCCATGCTGCAGTCACCAGGCATCATGGGAATGGAGGGTGTACACTTGTACGGGAACCCATGCTCTATGGACAAGCTTCGACCTCCATTGTACAATTCCGTGCATCGGTATGGCAAGTTTACTGTCCTGGAGTTCATCTCGGATTGATTGCAGGAAGGCGTTACACAACATCAGCATATTCCCAGGTATGTGTTGTACAGTAGTAGATGTACAGTGTTGATATACTTTCTAAAGGCAAGTCATTTCTTTGTGGGTTGAATTTGTATACGGGAATGACTGCACTGCCTACGAACTGCCTGTCTTTCCAGAAAGCCTCGCAGGCACGTAGCACCGTATCTCAAAATTCGCAAACAACTTGGAGCAGCTAGGGTTTGCCGAACCATATCCGCAAAACGCCCAAAACAGCCGATGAAAAACAGCCGATGAAAAACAGCCGATGAAAAACGGCCGATGAAAAACGGCCGATGAAAAACGGCCGATGAAAAACGGCCGATGAAAAACGGCCGATGAAAAACGGCCGATGAAAAACGGCCGATGAAAAACGGCCGATGAAAAACGGCCGATGAAAAACGGCCGATGAAAAACGGCCGATGAAAAACGGCCGATGAAAAACGGCCGATGAAAAACGGCCGATGAAAAACGGCCGATGAAAAACGGCCGATGAAAAACGGCCGATGAAAAACGGCCGATGAAAAACGGCCGATGAAAAACGGCCGATGAAAAACGGCCGATGAAAATTGGCCGATGAAAAACGGCCGATGAAAAACGGCCGATGAAAAACGGCCGATGAAAAACGGCCGATGAAAAACGGCCGATGAAAAACGGCCGATGAAAAACGGCCGATGAAAAACGGCCGATGAAAAACGGCCGATGAAAAACGGCCGATGAAAAACGGCCGATGAAAAACGGCCGATGAAAAACGGCCGATGAAAAACGGCCGATGAAAAACGGCCGATGAAAAACGGCCGATGAAAAACGGCCGATGAAAAACGGCCGATGAAAAACGGCCGATGAAAAACGGCCGATGAAAAACGGCCGATGAAAAACGGCCGATGAAAAACGGCCGATGAAAAACGGCCGATGAAAAACGGCCGATGAAAAACGGCCGATGAAAAACGGCCGATGAAAAACGGCCGATGAAAAACGGCCGATGAAAAACGGCCGATGAAAAACGGCCGATGAAAAACGGCCGATGAAAAACGGCCGATGAAAAACGGCCGATGAAAAACGGCCGATGAAAAACGGCCGATGAAAAACGGCCGATGAAAAACGGCCGATGAAAAACGGCCGATGAAAAACGGCCGATGAAAAACAGCCGATGAAAAACAGCCGATGAAAAACAGTGTGTTAAAAGTAGCAGTGTTCACCTTAGTTACGTTACGGGTTCATTCTATGCGTGTCTGTATGCGTGTCTGTATGCATGTCTCAATGCGTGTCTGTATGCGTGTCTGTATGCGTGTCTGTATGCATGTCTGTATGCGTGTCTGTATGCATGTCTGTATGCATGTCTGTATGCATGTCTGTATGCGTGTCTGTATGCGTGTCTGTATGCATGTCTGTATGCGTGTCTGTATGCGTGTCTGTATGCATGTCTGTATGCGTGTCTGTATGCATGTCTGTATGCGTGTCTGTATGCGTGGAGTATTAAACAAAAAGCTTCGAAAGGTGTGCCATTCAGATTATAGCTCCAGGGAATGATAAACAGTTTGTCTGTCACGCTCCTGAACTATCCCAAAATACCATAAGTGACACCAGACCGTATCTTGCAAAAATTCAACTCAAGTCGTGTTAGCCATTCTGCGAGTTATCAAGGGAAGCGCAGAGTTCGAAATGCTAAAACTTTCCAAGTACGAATCGGGAGTAGTCGGCGCACGACGCCGTCTCCTGTTCACACTCAAAATGCAGCCGTTTTGTACGCTTGCGTCCCTGTCTACGGTATGAAAAGTCGGATCGATCCAACTCTTCTCGTCGCTTCCCGATCCGTACGGCAGTACGGTTGCATTCCCGTTCCTGGTGTTCACATTGGACGCCGTCAGACTGTCCCGTCGACCCTTACTACGTCGCGTGCCGAATGTGAACTAGTCTTTAATTCTATGTTACGTGTCAGACATTATCTGGAAAAGACATTCAGGTGGGCGGGAAAATAATCAAAAACAGAGGAAAACCAAAACCACGTAGGGAGCAACAAACAATTCCTAAAATTGTTTTGGTGGGAAATTTGCTTTCTGTGAAATGCTGTGCTATGCTGTGCAATGCTGTTCAATCCTGGCACGAAACACGATCATACGCGTAGGTGGTGTAGTCTGTGTTCTCAATTCCTGATCGTGTGTCCAGCACAATACATCTTGTCAATGCTCCCGTTATTATTGTGTGCGGTTGGTGTGTGTGTGTGTGTATGTGTGTGTGTGTGTGTGTGTGTGTGTGTGTGTGTGTGTGTATGTGTGTGTATGTGTGTGTATGTGTGTGTATGTGTGTTTGTGTGTGTGTATTATGTGTTCTTTACACTCTTTGTATCACATCCAGTCATTGCTCAAAGAGTAGTCGAGGACAGAGCTGACGTAATGTTCAAGTTTGATCTACAGACCAACAGTCAATGATTGCACAACTTCCAGAATGGCGTATGTGCAGACAGTGACATCTCAGGTGTGAGTGTGTGTGTGTGTGTGTGTATGTGTGTGTGTGTGTGTGTGTGTGTGTGTGTGCGTGTGTGTGCATGTGTGTGCATATATGTGTGTGTGTGTGTGTGTGTGTGTGTGCATGTGTGTGTGGGTGGGTGGATTCGTGTGTGCGTGCATGCGTGTGTGTGTGTGTGGTGTGTGTGTGTGTGTGTGTGTAACGGAAGACTTGGTCGGATAGTTACGATGCCGACACTCTCCTCCTCGCCCCCACCTCGGAGTGCTTTGCAAGGCCTTGCAAGCCCGCTAGTGGAGCAAACTACAGCACGAAGACGATGATTTAGAACGACTCTGAGCATTGGCTCATGAAATGTTCGCTCTGTTGTGGAGAGTGATGGACCAGTTCAAGCGGCAGCCGTGAGAGGAATCATTTCCCATGATAAGGCAGATCGCTGCCAGAGATGGCTCTCTCGAACATGGTCCCTGAGTCCCTGACCTAGTACCTCTCTCTCAACGGACTGCCGTCGCTCGCCGTTCCAGTTCTAGTCGGACCCGCAAGGGGACACGTTACCGTAATGGCAGTGTTTACCAGGACCATGTGTGTGTGTGTGTGTGTGTGTGTGTGTGTGTGTGTGCGTGTGCGTGCGTGCGTGTGTGTGTGTGCGTGCATGTGTGTAGGCGTGCAGCACACATCACACGGAGTATTGAATTCACTTGAGTAGAATGTAATTTGTGTGTGTACTGTTTTCAATGATTGTATTGTGTAGCATGCATGACTCTGCTGAAGAAACAGTTCAATCATCAGTTTTCTGGTTATTCTAGGATTTACGGATATAATTCCTCACAGTCAAGTATACACACAAGAATACATGATGTTACTGGTAGTGCAACTGCTGATGCTGCAGACAATACTTCTGTTCATATTGTTGCACACTACGTAGCTCTCCGTCACGATTCTTCTGTTGGTTTTGTTGATGTGGTTATTGTCACCAGCAAGTGCTGAGTACACTCTACAATAGTCTTATAGATATGTATATACAGTATAATTATACATGAGCGTTAGCATGTTAACGCGAGTTAGCAGCCAGCCCAGCGAGCTGGCCCAACCTGCACGCATGCGCGAGTCACGTGGGCACGCGCCCTTCAAAATCCTGTACAATGTCTCTTGCATGTCATTGCTGTCTGGACTTTCGAGCGTGCAACTTGCGGAACATGTATTCCCAAACAATTTCCTTAGTCGATTGCTGATGGACGTGTTTGTCAATATTGACACCAATGCCAGCATAAAATTTTAATGAAATACATTCATTGTTGCTGGTGGTACGCTTGATCAGCTGTAGCCGGCACTCTGCTGCTCCTATTGACTGTGACGAAGAGTTTATCTAGTCTTGGTGTGATGAGACGCGCGGAAACTCCATTGCTCTCAGTCCACACTGCACCGCGGCCATGCTGCATCACCTCATCACACATGATACAGCTGTAATGTATTTCCTTGATCTCAAGCATTCAGTCACGGTCTGCACTGCACCCCGGGCACCATTCCAGAGAGGGCAGTATTACCCCCCAATAGAGTGCACCATTCCAGAGAGGGCATTATTACCCCCAGTACAGCGCACCATTCCAGAGAGGTCATTATTTTATTACCCCCAGTACACATAGTACATTGCACCATGTAACTTTGCGGATATCTACTGCATGTAGATGATGTCAAACTTACACTGTACTGTTGGGTTAGAAAGAACTGGGGGGTCAGCCTGGTAGTAGCCTAGAGCATTCCTATTTTCATGTACTATGGTTTATGCACAGTTGAGTTACTGTCTATACATTGGTATGCTGTGCCAGGGTGAAATTCCAGACTGCATGTCCGTTTTTCACATAACCCAACCGTTCTTCAGCACCCCACAGTACAGCTGTGTGTACTCTTGATGATGGAACCATGCACTGGTCATGTGACTATAGATATTCAGACAGACCATACACATGTACACACACGAGTGCAGTGTAGCTGGCTCAAACGTGCAGCGACGTACAAAACAACAGTAAATAGATGGTAGAGTGTTGATTGC